TTTTTTTTTTTAAAAAAAAAAAAAAGAAAAAAAGGCATGGGCAGCCTGAGATCAGTGCCTGTTTGCTCAAATCCCTGCCTCAGTATCAGAAGGAGCCTTTGGTTTATCCCTGTGGGGGCAGCTCGTAACAAAATCACTTCAGTATTTAAAGATGCACCTGGAGCATCAGTTTGGAAGCGCTGCTCTGGTTTTCAGTAAGGTTTTGGTCACCTATCGGAGACAGGGTCTTCTGCAAAGCCCAGGGGTGCTTACCTGCGCTCCAGGCTCCTGCTACCTCAGCACACCTTGCTCCGAAGCTGTGATCCAGCTGGATTTGTTTTGAACACGAGTAGCCCCAGTGAAGGGCTGGGACCCTCCTCATGCTTGATGCAGAGCCTGCGCTTCTGCACTTGTTAGGATTTGGCTCTGCACCCTCCCGTGCTTTGATTTACCCCTAAATGCACCCAGATCTAAGCAGGGGCTGCAGTGATGGAGCGGCCCCAGCAGCAGCACTACCCCATCCCCAGGATCAGCTGCTTTCTCAGCCTGCTGAGTCCTTTTTTCCTTTTCTTTTTTTTTGGCTGGCTTGAGGTTGCCACATTGCTGGGTGCTCGCATGAAGTTACAAACACAGGCAGGAACCCGGCTGTGCCACCACAGGCATGTGATGCAGCTACAGCTCACGCTGGGCACCCGCTTGGGAAGGATGTGATAGGAGCATTGGGGGGAGAGCGAGTTCCTGAAGAGGAGATTTCATGAGCTCCAACCATCAGGAAGGTGAAAAATGAAACCCTTGCCCCGGCTCCAGGCTATGACCCGTCCTTGGGTGTCAAATACCCCAGTGTCTTCCTGCAGGAAGGTCCCAGCGCTGGCAGCAGGAGCAGCAAGTGGCTTTTTTGGGGTTGTGTCCCCATGTGTCCTGCTCTGGGGGGACCGGCTGATGCTCCCGTGGGGTGGCCATAGCGGGCAGGTGATCGCTGTCCCAAAACGTGCTGAGCTGCTGAGCAAAGCAAGCTCCACCGCCCTCGCCCCGCTCTCTCTGCGCATCTCTGCTGGGGTTTGCTTCCACTGCGTAAAGGCAGGCAGCGAACGCAGCCTTCAGCGCCGCAAGCTTTAAAGCAGGATTTAGCACATGAAAGGGGTTGCCGCCGCTGTTTGCAGAAGGTAGAGAAGCTTGTATTAAAAAAAAATAAAAGGCTTTATTTCCTCCACCCTCCTGCCTCTGTGGAGTGGGTGACTCCAGCTGCCGCAGAGTCCCCGCAGATTCGCTGCAGCTTCCTTGTCCCTGGCGCTCCGCGTTGGCCGGGGGCTGCATGGGAATGAGCTCCCCCAAGGAAACAGCCCTGGCCCCCGTCGCAGCCCAGCATCCCCAGCTGGAGGCTGAGATGAGGATGGTCGTTGCCTTCAGCCTCTCTGCCTGCGGGTGCTGGTGGGTTCTGTGGGCTGGGCTGGGGATCCTCAAACCTCTCCTGGTTCCTCTGTCCCCATCTTGGCTGGGATCCCCAGCACCTCTGCTGCTTTTCCAGAACAAAATATCCCCACAGCCTGCTGATGGCTGAGATGCTCCAATACCCGGGATGCTCCAGGTCTCATCCCAAAAGCGTGGTGTTGCACCCACCACCCCTCTGTCCCTGCCCCAGAGAGCTGCTGCGGGCTGTAAAGCCCCCGACGGGAGGTGTCGGGCACAGGGGGTGGCACCCCCAAAGCCCCAGTGATTGGTGTTTTAAAAAGCACCAAAAATCAAACCCCTTTTTCCCCACCGCCCCCGGCTCGGGGGATGCTGTGGTTCATGCAGAGCTGGCCTCCACGTGAGAAAACGGGTCACTGTAATCCAGGTGAGGAGCTGCTTTCCCGGGCATTTTGGGTGCCTTATGCTAAATTCTTACCTGAATTCAGCAGCTTCGGGAGGTGGCATCTGGCAGGATGGTGCTGGACTCCTGTCAGGAGTCTCTTGCTCTCTTTTTTTCTTTCCTAATTCCACCCTTGCTCAATGTTTTGTCCGAGAGAAAAGAGAAACTATTTGAAGCATGTCTGGCAAGCAGGGAAAAAATAGGAACACAGACATTTCCCTGGCACCTTCTCCTTTTGCTGCATAATCCCGGGTCCCTGGGAGGGGCAGGGATGATGTGAAGCCTCAGCCCACTGCCTGCACAGAGCGTGCCTCAGTTTCCCTACCTGTAGGATGGAAATATTGACAGGAGTCTGTCTGCTCTCGGGTGATGGGCATCATCACTTCCTCACTGACCCTTTGCAGGAGCTCTGCGATGCTTTGCTACCCGGGGCAGGGAAAGATGTAGGGAAGGGCGACCGCTCCGTGAGCATGCTCATCCTCCCTGGTGCGTTCCATGATCTTCAGCCCAGCAGATACGTGGCCTGGGGTGTTGGAGCAGGAATTTCCAGGGTAAGGACATTTTGGGGCATCTTATTGCTGATAATTAGGCTGAAGCATCCTAAGTCCCCCCACGGCAGGGCGGTGATTGCAGCAGGTCTCTGCAGCAGC